AAAGATGGAAGGCAGCAGGGAAAGAGGAAGATGACATACAGGATGGATGGACTCCCTAAAGAAAACACAGGCTTGAGGCTACAAGAGTTGACAAGGCCAGCTGAGGACAGCTGAGGACATTTTGCAGTTCATCCATTCATATGATTGCTATAAGTTGGAGGCTACTAGATGGCACAAGAACAATCACATCTATTTTCCTTCAGAGTCTTACAAATATTAATAAAAAGCCAAAGTAGATTAGATGTGTTGCCCAAACCCAATCAGGCGAGGAAGATCTATCTTTCATGGACCAGTTCCCTCCAATATCTGCCTGGTTCCTTAGTTCCCCCTATATTACATACATTTTTAACATAATTCTTGTGAGAACCCTGCAAAAGAGGTCAGTCTTATTGGCTTCATATTGTAGGCACGGGCTGTGATGGAGTGTTTTGTATTTTCTTGCTGTCCCTAACACAACCAAGGGATTTATGACAAGAGGCAACATTCTAAGTAAGCAGGCCTTTGGCAATTTGTGTCTCTGATACATATGATTTATTTATTTTCATTCATTTACTGGTATTGAGTCCTATGCATTTGAATTGTTCTGAGATACATAGTTCAAGAACTGAAGCACTAACTGTTATGGTAAAAGTGAAATAGATTGCTAAACAATACCTACTTCAAACAGGTTAATAATATTTAACCCCTAACATCAATTTACACTTTCCTAATCTTAAAATACACAAACATACTTAACAGAAGCAAATTACTCTATCTGTCTTTATAGCACCACCTGAAAAATATTCACATATGAGCAGCTAGCAACTGTTAGCATCTCTAAATAAAAACTACCATATTTTATCTCACCAGTAAGTATTAATTCTCCATCAAGAAACTGCTGATTTCAACCTGCATTTTTCATTGTTGTGTATGTCAACAAGTTGTACCTACTGTTATGCAAATAATGTTCATGGACATCCATCTTGTTAATTAACCTAAAACTGCACAATAAAAGCTAACAGTTCTCTTCTAACTTTGGGAAGTACTTATGGAGTAATTAATTAATTGTTATTGAACATGAATCTTACCTTTTCACCATTCTCTGGCTCTGGATTTAAGTTGTTTCCCTCATTGCTTGTGAAAGGCATATTATTAAAAATATTATCTGTAATCTGAAAATTAGGTGTCAGGAAGGTAAGCTCATTCTTCCTAGACTCTGAAGACAGACAAAGCTGGTAGGAATAAGGCAAAGTCCCATCCTCAAAATTGGGTGGAAATATAGCACCAGTATTTGAATGGGGAACAGGGCCAAAGCATTGCAGGAATTTGGGATGCCCCGAGCGCCGGAGCTTCATCGTAATGGCCAGAATGACCGTCAAGAGGAATAAGAAGGAGATCAAGGCTAAGGCCAGTACCAAACTGAACTGGAGATCATACTGAGGCTCTGAGCTGATGAACTGGTCATTCATTTCTGGAAGGGCCTCCTGAAAGTTCTCAGCAAACACCAGGTTCAGACTAACGGTTGCAGAGAGAGGTGGCTGACCATTGTCCTTCACTAGAATTATCAGTCTCTGCTTTATGGCATCTCTTTCCAAAAATGTCCGTAATGTCCTGATCTCACCATTATGGAGCCCAATTTTGAAGAGTCCGGGCTCTGTGGCCTGGACAAGATGGTAAGATAACCAAGCATTATGTCCGGAATCAGCATCCACTGCGACTACTTTGGACACCAGGTAGCCCTCCTCTGCTGAGCGAGGCACCATCTCAAAAGAATGTGAGCTTTCTACTCCTTCTGTTGGGTAAAGGATCTGGGGGCTGTTATCATTCCGATCCAGAATAAGCACTCTCAGTGTTGTATTACTCATGAGTGGTGGTGAGCCGCCATCTTGGGCCTTCACTTGCACCAAAAACTCCCTAAATTGTTCATAGTCAAAAGAGCGTTGAGCGTAGATGGTGCCAGTTTCAGAATTAATGGAAAAGTAAGTTGATGCCTCAATGGTAGTGTGGAGGATGGAATAAATGATCCGAGCGTTGTGGCCCATATCTGGATCTGAGGCTTGGATTGTAAAAATGGAGGAGCCTGATGGATTATTCTCTGGCACATAGGCAGTGTAAAAGGTTTTCTCAAAGGCAGGTGAGTTATCATTGATATCTGAAATCTGTAGGGAAATGGTCTTCTTGGTTGAGAGAGAGGGTGTTCCTCTGTCTGTTGCTACAATTGTGATATTGTACTCTGGAGTGCTTTCTCTATCCAGGGGACCATCTGTAAGTAGTTTGTAGTAGTTATTAGATGTCGATACTATTTTCAAAGGCACATTGTCTTGTAAAACACAAGTCGCTCTTCCGTTGTCTCCAGAATCCTGGTCATCTACATTGATGAGAGCTACTAGAGTTCCTACTGCCGAGTCTTCAGATATTGGGCTGGATAAAGAGACAAGGAGAACTTCAGGGGCATTGTCATTCTCGTCCACTAGCTTTATTTCCACATTACAGTGAGATACCAGTCCACCACCATCTCTTGCTTCAACTGTTACAGTGTACTTCTGTGTTTCCTCAAAATCCAAGGTTTCTATAACTGTAATTTTCCCATTGACTGGATTGATACTGAACTTCTGACGAGCAGTTTCAGGTATATTGTTAAAAGTATAGCTAATCTGGCCATTTGAACCTTCATCTTTATCTGTGGCTTTCACATCTATCACTGAAGTTCCTCTGGGGACATTCTCTTTCAAGCTGATTTTGTATACCTCTTGAGTGAAGACTGGTGAGTTGTCATTGGCATCAATGACTTTAACCCATATTTTGGCTGTCCCAGTTTTTGGAGGCTTGCCTCCATCTAGCGCCATCAGGATTAAATGGAAACTGCTTTCGCTTTCTCGATCCAGATGCTTATTAAGTATTAATTCTGCATACTTATTCCCATCTTCTCTCTCTTTCACTTCCAGTATGAAATACTGATTAGACGTGAGATGGTAGTTCTGGACAGAATTCATTCCAACATCTGGATCTTCAGCATAGCCAAGAACAAACCGTGCACCTGGCAAAGTTAATTCACTTGTCTCTAGGCTGATATCCCCATTTAAGAAATGTGGTGCATTATCATTAATGTCTTCAATCTCCACAGTTACATGGAAAATATTCATTGGGTTTTCAACCATGACTTCAAAATTAATGAGGCAAGGTGCATTTTCCCCACATATCTCCTCTCTATCTATCCTGTTACTTACATACATATTTCCATTTTTTCCATTGATACTGAAATATTCTTTTTTACCTAAAGACAGGATATGCAAATTGTAGTTTGCTATTTCTCCAGCAGGCAACCCCAAATCTTTTATAAGATCCCCTACAATGGAACCCACTTCCATTTCCTCAGGAACCAAGTAGTGAATCTGCTCTGAGGCAATCTTGTTGAACAAAGACAATAACAAGAAGAGAGGTACTTGCCTTCTTATAAACCCATTCTTTTTATGGTTACCTTCCATCTCATCTGCTCAGAGTCCTTAATGTGTTTTTCCTTTTTTCTTCTTTGCTTTCGTGAGGCAGTTAAATTCCCACAACAGCACAGAGATCCAAAGTCACGATAAGACAAAACCCCAGCATTTGTTTAAATCTCAATAGCTTAGTTTTTCTCTTTTTGTTTATTTTTCTGAGGACACCTTTCTGTATCCTGCTGTTTCCCAGATCTGCAGTCTGAATCATACTGCAGGAAACACCATTCACTGAATTCTTTGCTCCTGTAGGAGAACTATGTTGATCAACAGCGGCACTCTGAGTCTGAGATGGAGAACTGCACGAGGCAGCTTGATTTTAAACAACTAACATGGAAGAGATAACTTACCTTTTTGTGTTTATGAAGGGAGACAAATCATTTCCAAATACAACATGAAACCTTTTCTGGTTCTCAAAAACACAAATTACATAAATTTTGTGTCTTTTCCTCAACACAAATACCTCAAAGTCATTGAAAGCATCAGCACATAGTATTAAAGAAATCAAAATATTTGAGCTGTTTTATATTCTACGTTCCTTATTTTAAAAATATTATGGGTCAATTTTATTCTTCATCTCAGACAATTCTTTTTTAAAAAATAAATAGGTTATCTTTTTCTGCCTGTCTGAAGGGCTGCCCAGTGGGACCCTGGGAATTACTGAAGCCCCTTGATAATCTGAACCCAACCCCCAATGGTGACTGTCAACATTCTCCTCACCTTCTCAATCTGTACACTGTGTACACTACGGCCGGGTGACAAAAACAGAGACAACACTCTCTATTTCAAAACCATTCCCAAATTTTAAAGTCTGTACTTAAAAGATCCTGTTGCAGTCCATTGAATCACATGGTGCATTGGCCCTTCATTCTAACTACAGAGGATAGTTTTTCCATTGACTCACAGTGATAATGGGCAACAGGCAGGAAAAGTGAAAGTCTGAAGAGACAAAGAAACTAATTGGAAAGTTTCACATTTAAGTACGTATGTGTGTATTTTTAACAAAATAATAAAATACTTCAAGAAAAGAATACAGCATCAGACACATCTCTTTTAATGTGCAAACCTATGCATGAGCACATGCATGCATGCACACAGAACATACACACCACTTCACAAACTTCCTTTCCCTCATGAGCAGCAGAAATGCAATGTCTGGATTTTAATAAGAGAAAAATACCAGAACACATGGCTTTAAAGAAAATTAGACTTCTTTGAATTCTTTTTAAAAGACTGACTCGGAATCCAAAGGTCTACATTTAGAGACATACTTGGTGGACACCCTGATCCAAGGGAGGTCAAGCTAGCTCTGTCTCAGACAAGATTTTGGCTTTTAAGATGACTTGTTTGCAACAGGAGGCTTTATATGTTGGATGCTGGATTTTTATTATTTTTTTAAGCTTAGTGGTATGTTTCTAATTCATTTTTGTCTTTGTATTTTATTTATTATTCTGCACTTCTGTAAGTGTGATCCTTATATTTTATTGCTGTAAGCGTTATGAGCAGTATTTCTAGTAGAAACCTAGCACAGAAATTAAAGAATGAATAACACTATAAATAAACAATTTTTAAAAATAAAAATGTGAATTATTAAACGGAATATTTCTACTGCCCCAGAAGTTGGTGTATCATTGCTAAGTTCATTATAATAAAGTAGGGGGATAGAGTTCAAATGGATGATCAAAGTTTTTGAATATGTAAGAATATCATATCGACTTCAATCTCAAATCATATGCGGCAAAAATACACAGAGGAATTATACCAGAAAGATTTGGATATCCCGGACAACCCAGATAATGTGACCTTGAGCCAGACATCCTGGAGAGTGAAGTCAAGTGGGACTTAGAAAGCTTGGCTAACAACAAGGCCAATGGAGGTGATGGCATTCTAGTTGAACTATTTAAAATCTTAAAAGATGACGCTGTTAAGGTGCTACACTCAATATGCCAGCAAGTTTGGAAAACTCAACAGTGGCGCGAGGACTGGAAAATATCAGTCTACATCCCAATCCCAAAGGAGGGCAGTGCCAAAGAATGTTCCAACTACCGTACAATTCCACTCATTTCACACGCTAGCAAGGTTATGCTCAAAATCCTCCAAGGTAGGCTTGAGCAGTATAGAGACCGAGAACTCCCAGACGTACAAGCTGGATTTCGAAGGGGCAAAGGAACGAGAGACCAAATTGCTAACATGCGCTGGGTTATGGAGAAAGCCAGAGAGTTCCAGAAAAACATTTACTTCTGCTTCATTGACTATGCAAAAGCCTTTGACTGTGTGGGCCACAGCAAACTATGGCAAGTCCTTAAAGAAATGTGAATGCCTGACCACCTTATCTGTCTCCTGAGAAACCTATAGGTGGGACAGGAAGCAACAGTTAAAACTGGATATGGAACAACTGATTTGTTCATAATTGGGAAAGGAGTATGACAAAGCTGTATATTTCCCCCCGGCTTATTTAACTTATATGCAGAATACATCATGCGAAAGGCCAGACTGGAGGAATCCCAACCGGAATTAAGATAGCTGGAAGAAATATCAACAACCTCCGATATGCAGATGATACCACTCTGATGGCACAAAGTGAGGAGGAATTAAAGAACCTCTTAATAAGGGTGAAAGAGGAGAGTGCAAGAAATGGTCTGAAGCTCAACATTAAAAAAACTAAGATCATGGCCACTGGTCCCATCATCTCCTGGCAAACAGAAGGGGAAGATATGGAGGCAGTGACAGATTTTACTTTCTTGGGCTCCATGA